GCCCGGGTGCTGGGAACGGATACGAGGGCGACTGCGGGGCCGGAGGGGGACAGGGCGGGCGGGGCGCCCAGCCGCGGCTCGGTCTCTTGCAGGGCGTTGTCGGGGGGCCGCTGTTCATCAACGTCTGCAGCTGGGAAAGGGTCCCGGCGCCCAAGGCCCCCACTGACCCCACACCTGCCAGCGCGGGGCCGCTAGAAGAAGTATCTGGCGAAGGAGGTACGTCCCGAAAGAGTTGCGCCTCGCCCCGGATGCATTTCTTCTGCAGTAGCGCACTGCGTGGCAATCGCACGCAGATTCTCGCTGCAACAGAGGGTGGTGCTGTGCCGCGGCCAGCTCTTAGCTCGGGGTGGGGGGCGGCAAAGCGAGGATGCGACGGGCGTGTCGCGACAGGGACTCTAAACTTAGAGTCCTTCCTTTTTGAAAAAAAACCGAAGAAACACAAAAATTGCACGTATCTAAATCCTGAAAAGTACTTGGGCACTAGGAATCTCCTTGACCACATAGAGTCATGTTGACTTGGGTCGTATTCCCATGCTTCTCCTTAAGCACACAGACTGCAGGATCAGCACGTGGAGAGGTGTCATCTCTAGACGAGGTCGATAGAATTAGCTCTCTGCCCAGAAGCCACAAATTCATTTCCTTTGCTTTTAAATCAAGTGATTATAAAGAGCACTGGCACGTGGTTCCATAGCAACAATTCTGACACATAACTTACTTTTCTAGACCTTTACAGCATTATAGATATTGCATATAACCCAGATGTTCTTCAGAGGGGAGAAGAAAACCCAGAAAAAATGGAACACTTGATCCATTTGACACTTAAATTTGTTGAGGAACGATGCAACCTTATTCTTTCTCATTTGTACACCATTGAATCATTCAAATTGAAAGGAAGCCTGGAAATGATGCAGCAACGGCTGAAAGGAAGGCGGATGCCGACTCCACATCTCACTCAGAACACAAAGAAGGGTATGTAGAGATCTGCTGTCACTTTTCTTTGAGGACCTATTAGAGTCTCCAAGAGATTCACTCAAGCCTCATCTCTCTAACCCCAATTCTTGCCATAAGCATAAACCAAACACTTCTCTCTGAGAATTCAGAATAAGGCGGCAGTATTCATACCAGACATCAGTTTAACCCTGCTGGCCTATCTGCATTCATCTCCGGTGTTTTACAATTGAGAAACTGTAGCGGCACTGGAACAGCAAACTGCCTTTTTCCTATATCCGCTAGACATCGGGAACTCTGCTAGGGTTTGGTCCTTTGAGGTGCTAAGTTTCTTTTGCTCTAACCTGAGTAAAAGGGGTTGCTGCTGTAACTAGTAGTCTGAAAACAACAACTTTTAACCTGTTGGCAATAAAACCAAATCATGGGTGAAGGAGAAACTGCCAGTAACAGTCTTCAGCTGACAAAATTGCTAGTTACAATTAATTACAGTTAGAACTTTTGTGATGTATTTGTCAAATGGCATAACATTACAGTTCTTAGCACCTGAGCAATATATGTGAAAAAACTTATTTTTCTTGAAAGAACTGACACTTGATCAGCTGCTACACACTACGGGAGCCGAGGACTGCAGCAATGCTCCTGTGCTGCTGAAGGAAGAAAGTGTGACACAGTCTAAAGTCCATCTGATAGAAGAAATTACCAGTACTGAAATGCCAGAGAAGCTAAGTACCCCTGTCTATGAAATTATCACCATGAAGGACGCAAACAAGAAACCACTCAAAATTGAACTCAGAATTGAATTGCCTAAGGTTAGCTCCGTTTCTGAGTGTGATCTGAGAATTTCAAAGGTAAGATAGCAGAAAGAATAACCTTGTGCTTTCTGTCTAGTATCCAATTCCTAGAAATGCTCACTGCTAATTTGTTGTCAAGTAGTTAATCAAGTATTTTAATTTTCTTTGTTTAGGATGACATAATCATTGAAGTCCCTGAAAAATACAAATTACAACTCGATCTGCCAGAATTGGTGGATGAAGAAACAACTACAGCAGTATTCAACAAAGGAAAACGGGTATTGTTTATCACAGTGCCAGTTGCCACGCCAGATCCTTAGAGACGGCATTCTGTCCACTTCATGTTGACAGATGACAGAACAAAACAAAAGCCCAGAATGAGACTCCTAACTTTTAGATGGTGATGAGGTTGGTTGGGTTTTTTTTATTGACCTTCTAACCTTCAGGGGTGAATACCTCAAATACCTTTAGAAGATGCATGTAGAAAAGGAAGTCTGGAGGAATACTAGCACCGCCAAACTTAGGAAAAAAATAAGTGAAGATTGTAAATATTCAAGGAGTAGTTGAATATGTTAACAGCTGTAGTAAAGAACCATAAATGCATACATGCTTTACTACATCATTCATTTTGCCTTAAGGTATAGCAGTAACAGTTGTGAAGTCTTTCTGCTAAATAAATTGATTACTGGATTCACACGGTTGGAGCAGCTCTCACATGTATTTAATGCTGGAACAACCAGCAGAGGTACGTCATAGGCAGTTCTGCAAGTTGCCCTGCATGCTCTGTTGCTGTTCTCTTGAGGACAATCCCTGCTGATCTTAACTAGAATAGGCTTTGTAGTCTTTTCAGTCACTGAATATGCTTGACCTCACTTCTTACCAGTTTGGCAATCTCTGAATGAGACCATAAAACAACAGACCTACTCTGTACTATTCAAAACAGCATATAGAGATTCAAAGCTCAGGAATGCTTAGTGTGAGGCTAGCAACCAAAAACAATCTTGGAGCACTTCAACTAGGAAAACCATCTGCATTAGTTTACACTAAAACACAAAATACAAAGTAATACAAAGCAACACAAAACGACTTCAAGGATTACTAAGCATTACTAGAATTAATTGGGAAAGGGACAAACAAATGTTTAAGTGATCTTAGTTTCATGATTGATTCAGTAGTATGTCATTCTTACAGCTTCTATGACACATTTGCACTACAACCATGTTGCTGTACCGATATTCATTGGATCAGAAATGGAAACAGACAAATTGGTTTTGAGTTGCAACTTTAAAATACAGGCTTACAAAAGAGCAGTAACTCCTAGCTTTCCCCCTTCTTTGTTTCAAAGCGACTTAGAAGGCTGCACTGAAGTACTGTTCAGTGGTTATAGTTGCAAGTTCAAGCTGAAATTCTATTGCTGCATGAACTGAGCTGGCCTGTTGCAGGATGTGAGCAATACCAGAAGTCACTATCAGCACTCCAAGCACAACACACTGGATAGGATTTTTTGAGTTGCAAGTGTTCCACAGTCTGACAGTCATTCAGAGAGCGTTTCTGTAGGATAAAGTATTTAGTGTTCTTGCTGCAGGAAGAAAGTGAAAGGTCTCTGTAGCCAGAATTTGAGGTTCTGGTGAACACTGCATCAAGCACGCCAGGAAGATTTAAAGTTCACTGCTGCATGATAGTAATAAAGCATGTATTATTTTGGAACATTTGTGATTACAATTTAAGGTTAATAGGGTGAGTTTCACTATCGGACTGAAAGGCTAAACAGCTCTTGATTGTGCTATAGCAGTACAGTAAGCCACACACGACTGAACAGAAAAGCACTGGAACATGTTTTAGTAGTTGTCAATTCCAAACATTTAATAGAACGTCGGTTCACTAGAGCAAGTCTGGAACCAAGATATTTTAGATCACTAAAGAAAACCCAAAACCTTAATGCACTTCTTTGCTTAAGCCAGGCATGAAAACCAGGTATCACAGCAACCAGACATTAAATAGTTCCCACAAAAATATTTAATTTCCCACAGTATTTTCTTTCAATATCTTTAGTGAATTTTGAAGAACTTTACAGGAGACAGTACTTAATGCGATATACAGAACAACAGATCAGCTTTAACTTTTTCTTTCTTTTTTCTAAACTTATCCCCCCCTATTTAATTCTCCTGGTCACTTTGTAATTACTACACAGTCATCCTTTTTACATTATCATTTCCATGTGGAAAGTGGAATTTAAGAATGTTCAGCACTGCACCCCTTTGAGGATACAATGACTGGGGTAACTGGACACAAGTCCAACAAACAATGGAAACATTTTACATACAATATATACATGGATAGCACATTCTGCAGCTTACTGAGGCTGGGAAAACATAGACAGTTCAGGGAAGAACCGCAGTACCAGTGACTAACGCAGAGCTTCCTATGTTGGAATGCCTGAAAAAAAAAATTCCAAACATTCGAGTCATCACATGATTAATATCCACTGATGGGATTATTAGCATGTGTGATTTGCCTATATTAGATTCCAACACACAGATTCTCTTGAACATTCTGCAACACATGGTATCATAGTCTGATATTAACTTAGAAAGAGGAATAGCAATTATAGAGTTTTCATACAAAAAGCACATGTAAGTGAAAGTCCACAAGAAGACAGCACATTCCCTCTGGTATCTGAGAGCTGTGACCCCACAGATACGAGTGTTCTTTCACCTTAAAGTGCTCGTAAAGGATCCCATAGCTGAGAAGGTCCAGGCCAGTGCCAAATTCCAAGAGAGATTTGGAATGCTAGCACTTGGCCTTTGAGAAACTATTCCCAGGCGCTTCAGTCCCTTAGTGCATCTGTCATACTCGCCCACCCCAGCAGGAGAACAGGATAGTAAGAGAATTCACCTTCTACTAACTTGTACGTTTCAGTTACCATCTCATCTGAACTCCTGTGAAGAGATGTTCATAGTTCAAATTTCTGAGAACATTGAGGTCATGAAATTGCTTGGTGTACACCCTCCTGGTCACCCCAGTTTAGAAGCAGATGGCAGTATGCATACTGCCTGGATCATTTTTAAATCTGGGATGCTTAACTCTGTTTTGGAAGAGTTTGCAAGTTAACTAACTGTATAAAAATACAGTATAGCTGTAATATTGCTCTGAAAAGCACTTCTGCAAACTTTTTCTGTACAGACTGGTAATAACATTACCAGATAATATAATACATATTTAAAATAAAAAAAGAACTCTTTTAGTAAGTCTGAACACTAAAGTCTAAATAGCTTGTTTAAAACAAAACAGTGTGATCCAGGAAAATTTTGTTTGCACGGTTAAATTATAGCAGCATGGTTACTGGCTTTTCAAGGAAATTCTTGAATTCAGCAAGCCACTGTGCTCCAACTGCTCCATCTACAACACGATGGTCACAACTAAGTGTAACAGACATCACACTGGCCACATCAAATCTGAAAGAAAAAAAAAAGAAGAAAAAAAAAGGTTAACACACAATCGTCTGCAAGTCAGTGCCGCTAACAAAGCAAAAAAGCTTTTATCGGAGAACAAGCAATAGCAGTTGGTGCTTGCTAACAGATGTTTCTCCCTGTGGACTTCTAAAAAAGATTACACTGGACAGCATATCATATTCATTCCTTTTCTACAATTAAGAAACACATTTGTATGTTCCCTTTAGGACAGGAAGCTCATCTTTCTTCGTATCACAAGAACAGCCCCACATAATCAGAGAAAGAGCCATTTTACCCAGTAACCTCCAGTTTCCCCATGAGTCAGTGATAGATACCTAGGACTGTTAACAAGTTCAAATAATCCTAAACGTTTTCCTTCAGTTCAAGCTACGCTAGTTCAAGCTCCAAGCAGGGCAGTATTATATACAGGACACTTGAATTATAATCCATCCCTTAGGTTTTCCTTAAATGCTAATTTAAGCAAGTTGTTAAAGAGAAACAGGTGCCTTAACTATTGTGGATCGCAGACTCTTTTTCACAGCTTAAAGAACCCTAACCCTATTTTTTTTTGAAAGAAACAGCCTTTCCTTAACTTGCAAAGAAATTGCAAGAATAAACATATGGCAGATTATTCATCAGTCACTGCATTTCTCTTTAATGCCTGTGTGACCCTTTCACACGAGATCTCCCTGTACTTCAGAAGGTACTGAAATCAATATGTCAACAATTAATTTTGTTGTTTTTTTTTTTTTAAGTGATAACCTAATGGAAGTGTTAGAAAACTAGCCATTATTTCAAAGTTTGAATTCAGCAGCTCAGTATATGCAGAATCAGATGAATACTGACCCTTTCTCATTATCAGCTGGCACTAGCCTTTTCTCTGAGGAACCAACTGCAAGGATGCAGGCTTGAGGTGGATTGATTATGGCAGAGAAATTCTTAATCCCATACATTCCTAAATTGGAAATTGTGAAAGTACCACCCTACAAGAAAAAAACACATTCATAGTCAAATTCACAAAAACTGTTTCATGTGGAATATTAATGAACATGGCTGAAACATGACAGAATAGGCTTTGCTCATTCTGAACAGGGCTTCTGAACAGAAGTCAAGGGCAGCAATGTTTAACAGCAATCCGAGTCTCTCACCTGGAATTCATGAGGCTGAAGTTTACCTTCTCGGGCTTTAGTTGCCAAAGAAACCACATCCTTACTAATGGAAGCCAAGCCCTTTATATGTGCATTAAACACAATAGGGGTTATAAGCCCTACAGGAGTACTAACTGCGACGCTAACATCCACTACGTGATTTCTGCAAGACACAAAGGAAATGCCAGTTACTCTAGCAAGATAACAATGAAAAAAATTTTCCAAACTGTTCATACAACTCCAAATTAATTTTGCAACAATTATTTCACCTTGCACACTAACCTTAGATGCAAGGTTCTTAGCACTTTAACGAAAGCCCCTCAACCTTTACATTATATGTGTTCCCTTCCCTCCTCAAAATCCCAGCAGAAGGTCTGATATTTTGCCATGAACTCTCTACTGAACAAAGAAAGTTTCTGGCTTCGACCGTACCATAAACTTACTGCCTAATAACTGTGTCCATCCATGAAGAATTTGCCTCGGGCACCTTCAAGCATGCCAGAGCAGAAGCTTTAATTATGAAGTCATTGACAGAAAGCTTAATGTTATCCGAGACCTCCTGTAAATAAAGAGATTTGAGGCGTCAGTTTGTCTTTTACCCATTACCTCAATTAACTTGGATAGTCACTGCCATGCAGCCTTGTTTAGAGAAAATGTGAGAAAACAATCACACTACTTGTAAGCATTAATATTTGAAGTGCTAAGACAATTTAGGAGGTGAATACATCTCCTTCCTAATTTAAGAAGGTACAGTCTTTTTTAATGTCTGTTTTTCCCCAAACTTGGCCTAGAATTATTTTGCTTACATTTTCTACCCTTTTTACTCTTAAAAACTTTTTTTTACCCTTTTGCCCTACTTTCCAGCTGGAAGAATTGAACACCACCAAGCAGAGTACAAAGCAGCCCTCTTAGGGAAGTCAGAAATCAGCACATGGTACCTGGGTAAAAAGTCTCATTCTGTCACAGACAGTCCAGAACCGATCCACAACAGGTAGAAAAGGCACTGAAAACACTATTTTTTCCAAGCCAAAATGGCATATCACCAAAAAGCAGGGTGTGCAAACCTGTGAGAGAATGCAGCTTTCTCCCACACACACACTCTCACCATGCCTAAATCCTTTACCTGATTGAGTTCTTTCCTCAGCACCAGTACTTCTCCCATGTTTATATCAACAGAAAGGTAGTAGTGAGGTATTGTTTGTTTAGACTGCATCAACCGCTGAGCAATGACCTGCGGGTATACAATAGAAGCAATGAATATAAATCAATTTGGAAAATTCATGACTGCAAATAATCTTGGAAAGGAATAAAATCTTCTTACCCTCCGAATGTTGCTGATAGGGATATCTGTGAAGGTCCCCACTGGTGCTGCTGCAACTGCAGCAGCTGCAGGAACTGCCTCTAGTGCTGGAGCCTGTAATCAGAGAAAGACAGCATAATTCACAGTGCTATCCAAGTATCAATTGTACAGAGTAATTCAGTATGTGGGACAAGTGCTGAGGCTAAGTTGCCTCTTGCTTAAGAGCAGCAGATATTTCCACTTGCTAGCCTCACCTCTCCAGTACCCACTAGGTTCTTTATAAATCCTATATTCGATTATTAAATGTAGTACTTGAGTGATTTAGAAGTGCAACACTGATACACACTGCTGTGAAGCTCCCAGAGTAGTAAGTCCTGCTAGATAGTTGTTTTACATAAAGCAGAGAGGTATGCTAGAGGGCACTCTCAAAATGCACTCAGCCACATCCCTTCCAGCAGTACACAAAGCAATACTTCCATCATCTCATATAGAAGACAAGGAATGGTGTTACTACAGATTTGTGGCAACAGTGACACCAGGCTGTTGGATCGTAAGTCTGGCTTTCATTCTAATTGCCTCTTTTCAGCAATGTTAGATCAGCTGGGACTGGGCTTACCTCAATCCATAACAATATAGCAACCAAATGAAGGGTTGGAAGCGCACAATTTTTTTTCTCAGTGAAATACCAAAGGGACAAATAAAGGAAGAAAACTTCGTCCATTTCTGACATTTTAAGCTTTACAACTTAACAGTCACCATAGCCCACACAGCATCATAACCCAACCAACCCAGCAATAACAGTCCCGTATAATAATTGCATTTCTACAGAGCATTTCCATCACTATAACAACGTATCTGTTCTTACAGATCTCAAGCCTACTCACTGGAGCAACCTTTGGTGGCACAAATGACTCCACATCTTTCTTTGTGATTCTACCATCTGGTCCAGTACCTAAAAGGGTCAAAGAAAAATGTAAGAGGGTTTCAATTATTTGCAACAGGGCATTGCTTCTAAAGGTACCAGTTTTATTCAACAGGGAGAAGTCACTTAACACAACCTCTGGTGAGGACAGCTGCATAGTCAGGATGTTCCTGACAGGGTGGAAAGAAAAGAACACGCAAGTATGTACCTAAAGGGACAGACACTTGGTAGTGAGAGCAAGGAAGTGGAAGGGTAACCTACCTTTCACTTGGGCAAGGTCAATTCCTTTTTCTGCTGCCATTTTCTTTGCCAGGGGACTAACCAGGATCCTTCCTTTCCGGGGAGGTGGCCCAGCTGTGGGGACTACTGGAGTGGATGGAACAGCAGGCTGGGGAGGAGGAGCAGCAGCAGGAGTTGCCACCACCTTAACAGAAGAATCAAAGCCATTAGCTTCAGGATCATTCAGCAAAAGCTTTGAAGGTACAGTGAGAGAACAGGACCACCTAACTACCAGTCAAGAGAATAGCAAAAATAGTCACTAATCTGAAAGA